AACTAGTACTTTACAGCTGTAGATACTCTGACTTAAAACACAAAAGTAACACGCGCCCCGACTGACATCCAACGGCTATTTTTGATCCATCTTCCGCATGAGACCTTGCACGGTACTCCGGCGGTAACCAAAGAATATTTTTAGACCTATTCGTGATCCATGTGTCCTGTTGTGAGAGCATATAACGCTGACCCATAAGGTCTCCAGTTGGTTCCTGGATCGCTACCTCGAATACGTTCTCCAAGCTGTTGCGGCCCTCGAGCGTCTGCTGGCACTGGCCTGTGGCCGTGTCCCAGAGCTTGACGGTGCTGTCGCGGGAGCCTGAGGCGAGCTGGCGCCCATCCGGCGAGAAGGCCACCGAGTTGACGTAACTGCTGTGGCCCTCGAGCGTCTGCTGGCACTGGCCGGTGGCCGTGTCCCAGAGCTTGACGGTGCTGTCGCCGGAGCCTGAGGCGAGCTGGCGCCCATCCGGCGAGAAGGCCACCGACCTGACCCAGTCGCTGTGGCCCTCGAGCGTCTGCTGGCACTGGCCGGTGGCCGTGTCCCAGAGCTTGACGGTCTTGTCGCTGGAGCCTGAGGCGAGCTGGCGCCCATCCGGCGAGAAGGCCACCGAGTTGACCGAGCTGCTGTGGCCCTCGAGCGTCTGCTGGCATGCGTTCCAGTCTACGTCTCCCTTTGTAATGATGGTAACCCAGGCTGGTACTTCTGCTCGGAAAAGTTGCCTTACTAAGCTGTGGGTAGGGCTAAATAAAAGAGCAGCTATGTATAGTTGCAATGGAAAGCTTTCTATACATTGTTTATAAGAAAGGACAAATCGACAGGCATCTCGGACGAGTTCTATAAGTTGTGTTTCCATACTCGCCTGATGTACTGTTAGGCGTATCCTGAGATGTAGTTCAATTAGACTTACGACCAATGTTTGGAGTTTCCGCATTGCCACTACTGCTTGTGGCATGCCTTTCAGAAGACTCTGAGCCTCTAGCCAGTGGAGATAATGGCGTTTGAGGAAATTGTGAACGCTAGCGTTGTCCCGTAAATCAACGCGCGCCGGGCCGTCTGCGGGATTTGAGTGCTCAAGATGGTCGACCCAGTGGGCAGACGAGTACTTCAGAGAAGCCAGAGGGTCTAGGTGAGGTGGTGATGTGTCCTCTACAGAGCTTCCAGGTTTGCGCAGCTCGTAGATGTCGCGTCTAAGCGTCCTAGATAGTACGTCTAGAGACCTTGAGAAGATCGCGTGGTGCTGGTGTGCAATGCCAGAAGGTAGAATCTGGCCAAGTGCTGGGTATGCCTCGTTCATCAAGAAATCCTTGGCCGACTGGTGGACAAAGTAGATTGTGTCCTGGCGAATAGTGAGAAAAGAGCCGCAGATGCTAATGATATACCGGAGGAATTTAGGATTGCTCGCCAGGGGATGATGCTCCTTGATGAGTATGGTGAACTCAGCTAGTGAAAGTGGGCGATAGGTCGTCACCACGAGGGCAAGTATTTGCCTACAGAGCCCAGTGTCCCTTTCTCCTTCTCTATCAATTTGTTCCATCATCCGTCCATAGAGAGCATTAAGTCCAGGTGGGAAAGATTTTATCTTCTCTAAGGCGTCCCATTCTGATGTCTTCTCGAGTTCTTGGCAAATTAATGCGACCCAGAGAAATGTGCCGGCGGCATTTGACGACAAATACTGACGTGCTTCACTGGCGGTATTAGGTGAGTAGCCCTTGAGTTCGCCGAGTTTTGATATCTTGAGCGTGATGTAGCTGTCCACAGCTGTTGAGACCGACTTTGCATTAAGTTCTAGTGATAGCCTTTGCGCTGCGGTACGCAGCCGTTCTTCGATCCGCAACCAGTTGCGGCTTGAGACGAGCCATTTTACACTGGTTGATTGCGATGTTTTGGTAATCAGGTCGAGCAGCTGATCGCAGCCCATTAAGCACTCGTCTAATGCATCGACAAGAAGGCACACACCTCGCAGCTTCGAATCGTGGAGCATATTTGCAAAGATCTCAGACATCGCCTGCCATGCGTTGACGTCTTGAAAAAGCGCCTTCCCAGCCTTTTCGTACTTCTTCATATACGAAACAAGGGACGGGTCTTGGTCGAGAAGCATGAAGATCAAGCCGCGCAGTACCGCCGTCGCCGTATTAAGTCGCTCGTCGGTGGCTTGACAGAAGAAGTAGGACAAGGGTTGCCCCTGACCGCGTGTTGCTTCAAGCTCGTCGATGATGCCGCATAGAAGCATGGTCTTGCCCTTGCCCGGGTCGCCCTTGACCCAAAGCAGTCGCTGGTCCTGGTTGTCACGCCACTGGCAGAAGTCGGAGTTCTGAAGCACCCAGACGTAGGAGTCAGTAAGTAAACCGCCCTTGGTCTCCTGGATGCGTTTCTTGTCGTCGCGTGGGTCGGTAACACGTAGGTCGGCCAGGCATTTCTTGAATTCCTCACTCTGTTGCATCTCCTCTTGTCGCTTGGTGTGGTGTTGAATAGCAACTTCAATATTTTGAAGCATCTTAGGTAAAAGTTGAAGTTCCTTGAGCTGAGAATTTGCGGCGTCTTCTAGGGATTCAAGGCTTTGAAGTGTCTTTTCGGAGGTGTATTGCTTCGAGCATCTCCGCACGTCAGCTTCAACAACCTTGATGTCGTCAAGCTTGCCAGCCCAATCATCCAACTTAATAACGTCTCTGAGGAAAACATCAACCCGGCTCCTGTGGTAAAGGCAGATGCTCTTCATCTGGTAGAGCAAGAGCATCTGGTAAAGATGGACGATATGCTTCTGAAGCTGACTACGCAGCCCTTCAAAATCCGGGCCGGCATCCTTCGGTTTGAGGAGGAGATTAACCAAGTTCCAGTACCAGTCCATCATGGAAACAACGTATTCAATGCCATTGCGTTGAGTAACTGATTCGAAGACTGGGTTGGCAAGTATCTATATGGTATTAGTGGATGTTTGTAAATCCGTGGAGCAACTGACCTCAAGAGCAAAAGAGACGCCAACCCAAGCGATAGCAGCTTCGGGAGCAGCCTGTACAGCCTTCCCGATTACTTCCTTCAGAGGGGAGATGACCCGAATCACATCGCTGGCTTTCTGTTTGAATTCTGCCTCCTTTTTCGTCTTCTGCAGCCCGACCTGGACAAGAAGCTCCATCTGGTGCCATCTTTCCTGCGGGTCAGGTTTGATGTGGTTTTCAGCTGAAGCGGCAGGAGTATGACTATCACCGGGAAGTTCGGCCGATAGGAGGTTCTCGTATGCTTCGACTAACTTGGATTCGCGCCGCTTCAGGTTGTCGTACGCCTGGTTCCAAAGCCGCTCTTTGAGGTTGTTTGCTGTTGAGATTGGTGTCTGAAGGGGCGAGGAAGACTGAGAAATTGGCGTTGGAGGGGGTGAAATATGAGGTGAGGCAGAGTTTGACTTGCGGAAGCTGGATTTGAACTTCTTAAGCCATTGAGGACTCATGTTGAGCCGTCTATTTTGCCCTTTGTATGAGCAACAGTGAGAAAATCGTAGACGATTGTATGAACACTGAGCGAGTGGCTCAGAGGGCGGGGTCTTGGGCAGTATTGTCTCCCTCGTCAGGCGGGGTAATGCGGCTGGGGTTATTTTCCTGTGCATGAGAAGAACCCAATACGAGGCCGAAGATCTGTTGCGTCAGACTGAAAGCAACATCTTGCATATCGTAGTGGGTAGGCCAAGATGTGACGTGAGCAAGAGGGAGTGGCTACTTGTCTTGGCATGCACCTGCACCCGTGCCAATCACGCGCAGCTATTCTTCCGTGTTGTCATTTTTCGTCTTTCGTTTTCTAGCACTAACCGCCTCTATTAGTAACGTGTTAAAACGATAAGGTGATCTGTCTTAGCTTTATGAACAGGGGATTTATTTTTCTCTCTTGGAAGTAGAGATATTTCGTCTCTCAGCTGTTGTAGAAGCTGCCGATGTGGAAAAGTCGACTTGCCTTCCGGAAGGAATCGCCTGACGAACGGCGGGGCCAAAAGGTGCACTCAGAGTTAGCGTGTCAGTCTACGATTGGATGTTGCGGCTGGTACCATCTGCAAGGCGGTGGTCCGTGCTACTGACTACCTGGTGTCAGAACACCCCGACATGAGACAAATGCAAATAAGCCATATTTCGGTTAGGACACAATAGCTGATGCATAGCCAAGATGCTTGACTCGGTTATGAAATGTGGACCTGGCAGATCCCCCATCGCTGCCCGAGCCTAACTAAAGTAACATAGTAGATGGCGTCGTGGCGTGCTCGGATATGATATCTTCTCGCTTAGAGCGATTTCTTGTAGTTGGGTGACGGTTTGTCAGTATGGCCAGCGGAATATGCATGTATGTGAGCAG